GAGAGAGGAGTTTGATTTGAGAGGGCTCGCCTGGGACTACTCTCAGGAATCCAGGGAGACAGAAGGGCTCAAAGGACCCATGTCAGTACCAAAAGCTACGAGTCCTTGTTGTCCCAGCGGCCGCAAGAGGTGAGATGCCTTCGAATTACACATATCTGACACTATTAAATTATCAAAGCATAAAAGTGCATACATAGTCTGTTATAATAAAAGCAAAGAGATTTATGTAAGGTTCAGTACAGCTCGAACCAGGGAAAGCATTCAACTCACAAAGTGAAACTAGAACGCTCCAAGCTGGTGAGATTACAAAGATATATTTATATGCTTAAATCAGGGACTAACAATGTAAATTTTCTGATTGGTGCTCAGTGATGTAAAGAGGCAGGAGATGGGATAACTCGAAGCGGGGAATTAACAGGGATTGGCTCAAAGTGTATATGTGGGCCTCTTACATTGGTTATTTCATATAATTACAAAAGTTCATGACTAAAGGGGGCACGCATTCCTTTTTGAGAACATTTCGCCAAGAGAGTATCTTCAAACACTCCCTAAGAGCTGCTTGTACAGATTTCTGATAAGGGGCTTGTGTCAAGACCCTCCTTTTAGAAACATTGTTTACACATTCTTAGATTAAGCACAGAGAAAAATATTTCCTTAGTTGCAGGATTGTCTGTACAAAGTTGAACAGTTACTGAGGAGTACAGGAGAGCTAAAATGGAGTCGGGGCTTAGACACAGGCCAGTCATTTTGACAGTTAAACACCTCAGTTCTGGAGCTCTCACACAGATCTGACCTAGCCCCAGGTGTTTAGGGTCAGAGGAAAAAGGGCTGCATGTGCAGTTGGTGTCAGAACAGAAGTTGCAGAGAAGTGAAAAGTGGGAATTTGGTTTATATCCTCTTAGCTTGTTAACCTTCGTGTAGGTGCAGAGAATGCAGATGGTTGAATAGGTTAGGTTAAGGAGATTGCAGAGCAGTTCTGTTAAAGGAAGGCACGTTCAGGATGGTGGGGAGAGAGAGTTTGAAACACGTTTGAGGGAAAGAAAGGTTGTAAAGTTTGGGAGAGTTTGGTTTCTGTCTTCAGAGGGGATCTACTTGAAGCTTCTCAGGATAGGGGTGGGTGTTTCTTATTACTGATCAGTTAAATGATAGAGAATTTTTGGCCTTTCTCATGGAAATATCCTCTGAACCCACACAATGTATTGTAAGAGAGTTGAGTGTTGTGGACAGACACCAGGCCTCTGCTGCAAGAGTTGCAGCAGCAGAGGAGGGAGGCAACTTCCTGTCTCAGCCTACATTAGATGAACACAATGGCAAATGTAAACTTCTGCCTTACACATTGTACTGAATCGGCTGTTTGCCCCCTCTGACTTCACCCTCCACCCTTCCCTTCTTTGGTCTGTACCCTGGGATGCTGACCTTTGCATTCACCATAATGGGCTCCCTTACCCTCTGGCTTCTGGTTGGCCTCTAGCAATGGGATGGAATGCGGACAGAGAAACAGAGCTGGAAGAAACTGAGAGGTTGTGTGTTTATTCACACAGCTCCCTCCCTCCTAGGCTTCAGGATGGCAGTGGTTGTATTCCTCTAGCTAAGGCCCTAGCTCCAGTCTTGCACCCTCTCCAATAACTTCCTGGATTCCGATCCTCTCCTACCTTACCCCTTCAGACCTAGTGTGTGAGCTTCCCCATAATAGCCAGAGCGTGAATGCTTCGCCATGCCTTGTTGTAAGCACTGAATGCTTCGTTGTGCCTCATTGTAAGCACCATTAAACCTGTCCAGTTCTTTGTAAATAGTCTGCACGTTAACCTACTCTCAGTTACCTCATTTGAAAACATCATCTTTTTCTTAAGAGTAACCAGATTAATACATACAATATAAGCCCCCCCAATTATAGATTGTATCACTTTCAATCCATTTCCCCATCACCCATATATCTAATGTAGTTGTCATGA